GAGGTGTGGACCTCACCCACACACATTATTTGTCAATTAAGACAAAGAAGGACACTTCCTACCTCTTTCCTCATCCTTGTGCTCGACCAACCCCTCCAAGGAGAAGAAAATTGAACTCTCAAAACACTCTCCATTGCTGCAACTCGAGCTCAAGCCATAGAGGTCCAAGGAGGAAGATTTGAGAAGGAAAAATCTAGGAAAAGTGTGAATGATAAAGGTAATGACATCATATTAACTTTTCCTTTATTTTTCTTCTACCATATGAAGTATATATCATGTGAAGAACCTTTATTATGGTTCCATATGATATAAGGGTGGATTCATGGGTTGGAAGATGGTTCTATGTCCAAGAACGGACTTAGAGGCCAAAACTACCGGTTCACCGGAAAATAACCTTTTTGAGGTTATGTGTATTAACATGGGTTTTATGACTATAAAACCTTGTTAGGAACTTGTAAAGGGTATTTCAAGTGGTTTCACAAAGTTGGAAAAGTCGCCGGAGTTGTCGCCGGAGTTGACCAAAAGTCGCCGGAGTTTCACCGGAGTTCAACTAAGAAGGGTAGAACTTCATAACGCTAGTTCAAGGTGAGTGGACGGCTTAATATCTTATAACTTTTGGGTTAATTATAAGATTACCTAAATAAATGTTATATGAATTCATAATGATGTTTAAAAGATATTTAAACATGTGATTAGCCAATAGGGTTAAGTTTGTATGAAAGAAATAGATTGTTTATGCATAGAATATGATATGAAGAATTATATAAAATGCATATTTGCTTGAAGTGTATTAGAAGCACAAATGAATATTTTAACTTAATTATGCGATGATTAAGTTGATTTGTACAAGGTTTGAAATGGCGGTCAACGACCACGTTGACCGGTGGATAATGGATTAATTAATACCGGTCGATATTAATTAATTGTACATTTACATAATTGCATGGCTTTGCATGGAATGTGATACATAAGTTTTATGTATTGGATTAGTTATGAATGGCTAAATATGATATAGACCCTACCTAGTGTGATATGTGGTAAGTCATAGGTCGGGTGGAGTACCCAAGGATCGGGCGGTTATCCTCAAAACTCGGTTATATAGGGTGGAGTACCCAAGGATCGGGCGGTTATCCTCAAAACTCGGGTATATAGGGTGGAGTACCCAAGGATCGGGCGGTTATCCTCAAAACTCGGTTATATAGGGTGGAGTACCCAAGGATCGGGCGGTTATCCTCAAAACTCGGTTATATAGGGTGGAGTACCCAAGGATCGGGCGGTTATCCTCAAAACTCGGTTATATAGGGTGGAGTACCCAAGGATCGGGCGGTTATCCTCAAAACTCGGTTATATAGGGTGGAGTACCCAAGGATCGGGCGGTTATCCTCAAAACTCGGTTATATAGGGTGGAGTACCCAAGGATCGGGCGGTTATCCTCAAAACTCGGTTATAGGGTGGAGCACCCAAGGATCGGGCGTGTATCCTCAAAACTCATAGGCTACATTTAATGATCTAGGACCGGATGGTGTCCTTATGATAATTTATTTGAACAAGGAGGAGTTCTATACACTCATAGGTATATGGGTGGGTTGGGATTTAAGTCAAGGATATTGGCTACTATTATTTTCCCAAATAAACAATGACCTACGGGTCGGGTATTTCCAAGTGTATGTATACTAATATGTATTTCAAACTTGGGGGAAGGACTATACGTATATGTATCATCCTATGTTTGGGTCTTATACTTGAAACGCTAGTTATTCTATATTTAGCCTGCTACTCGCTCGGTACTTGTACTGACCCCTTCGGGGGGCCCCACCATTCTCAGGTTGAAGCTAGGGCTTGCCACCTGCACCTTCCTACGGGTGACATCAAATCAAGGAAGACGTGGTTCGTGCTTCCTCATTTTATTTCAAATTACCAAACATTGCTCATGGATATTTTTATTTGTTATAAACTATTCTTTTGGGGCTTGCATGCCCATGTTATTGGCCGGTTGTGGCTTATGACTTACCGTTGAATATTTCCGCTATTCATTGGTTTAAATGTGATGTTGTTATGTATGTTTACTACTGAGTATGGATGGATTATTTTTCTCGAACGCCTTGTGTAATCAAGTGAGGTTGACTCGCGGGTGACATCACTTGATTTCACGGCGGTTGTACACGCGCTTGGATTGCGGTCTGGGGCGTGACAATTAAGTGGTATCAGAGCCATCTCAGTTCTAAACTATATAATCAACCTCTCACAAAAGATTTTACAAAAGAGTTCTTACCGAAAACCATGAGCATTGTATTTTGACGTTTATAGGACTATTGGTGCTTAAGTTGCAAGGCCTCTAATTGTTAAGACGGTACCCTTAACAATTGGTATGGTGGTGACTTGGGTCGATACGTGTCTATAACGTTTTTCTGTCAATTGACATTCATAGGAGTCTAAAGACTCGTCCAAATTCCGTTTCAGAAATGGAGGGTAAGCGAATGGCAACAAGAAATGACCCTAAGGGACAAGCGTCGGTAGCTTACCTTGAGGCTAGCCGGGCTGTGTCACGAGCCTTTACGGGGAGAGGAATAGGCCATGGGGGCCGTGAGGGCCGCCAAGCGGCAAACGCTAATCAAGTGGGCTCGATGTGTAACATGAACACCAGGAGGAACGAACGTAGGCGTCAGGCGAGGCGAGATCGGGCCACCTCCCAACGTGATATGACTGTCAGCCAAACCCATCCTTGGGCAAACGACCAAGGAGGAGAAAGCACTCTTACGGCACCGGCATCACCGGTGAAAAAGAAAAGGAACTCAAAGTGGCACACGTCCTTTCCTTACTCCTTAAGACCATCCAAATGTTCTAATTGCTCTCAGAAACATTTTGGAAAGTGCAACGAGCCCCCGATGTGCTACAAATGTGGGAGCACAACCCATATGAAATTAAGTTGCCCATGGAGGAGGCAACGAGAGACATTGCAAGCCGAGGAAGGGCTCACCGTGGAAGGAAACCATACGGAACCAACGATGAGCAACGCTACGTCCGTCAATCAAGGCGGGGCCCAAGCAAGGGTCTACGCAATGACCGAGGCGGATGCGAGAGCAAACCCGGACTCCGTTGCAGGTAAACACGTATTCCCATGTATTTCTAGGCTTACTTTGGTCATATACGTCGTTGGGATTGAGTGCGGGCCACCCCGGGGTCAAACCGGGTGAGTTAGGCCGAATCGGGCTGGAAACAGCCACTGCTGGCCAGGCACGCCCGCAGGCACGCCGTGCCTGGCATCGTGCCTGGAAGGCAGTGGCACCCGAAGAAGAAGAAAAAAAAAAAAAAAATTGGGCCAGGCACGGCCGCAGGCACGCCGTGCCTGGCGTCGTGCCTGGAAGGCAGTGTGTCCGAAGAAATTTTTGGCCAGGCACGGCCGAAGGCACGCCGTGCCTGGCATCGTGCCTGGCCGGCAGTGGCAAGCAGGGTGAGATTGTTGCACGCACGGCCGTGCGTGCCACCCAGGCACGCCGTGCGTGGACCCCCAACACCCGAAAGTTGATTTTTTTCGCCCCGTTCTTCTACGTTTGGACCCCCGTTTGTTTCCAAACATTAGTATTAACTTAATAACCTCCTAAAGATGTGTAAAAACACTAGAAAATGTATCTTACATGGTGTATAAATGTAGGAACATTAAAGATCAATGGTAGGTGTGCGAGGATCCTCATCGATACCGGGGCACAACGCTCATTCGTGAGTGAGGCGTTCGCCGAGGGCCTTGGCGTGCCATTGACACCTATGACGCAAGCGTTGCTAGTCTCCACACCGTTAGGAGACGACGTGGAGAGAGATCATTACTATCCCTCGTGTGAGGTAGAAGTGACGGGTCAACCTTTGACTTGTGATTTCGTACCTCTGAGCATGTTGGAGTTCGATGCAATCCTAGGAATGGATTGGCTCGAGAAACACCATGCTCGAGTAGATTGTTACACCAAGGTGTTGGAGCTCGAGGATGATCAAGGAAACACGCTATGTTTCGAAGGAGATCGGGGGAAATCTAATGCTTGTATCATATCCGTGATGAGAGCACGGAAGATGATGAGGAAGGGATGTCACGCATACCTTGCTTACGTGGTAGACGATACGAAGAAAGAAGTCGACATCAAGGATGTTCGAGTCGTGTGCAAGTACCCGGACGTCTTTCCCAAGGACCTACCGGGGCTTCCACCCGATAGGGAGATTCAATTTGTAATCGAAGTGGAGCCGGGGACCAAACCCAATTCGATTCCTCCTTATCGAATGGCACCGGCCGAACTTCAAGAGTTGAAGGTCCAACTACAAGAACTATTGGACAACGGGTTCATCTGACCCAGTCATTCACCGTGGGGAGCACCCGTACTATTCGTAAAGAAGAAAGATGGTACATTAAGAATGCGTATCGACTACCGACAGTTGGACAAGGTCACCATCAAGAACAGGTATCCCTTACCGAGGATTGATGACTTGTTCGATCAACTTCGAGGAGCAATAGTGTTCTCGAAGATTGACTTGAGGTCGGGGTATCATCAGTTGAAGATCAAGGAGAGTGACATACCTAAGAGTGCATTTCGCACTAGATATGGTCATTATGAATTCCCGGTGATGTCGTTTGGTTTAACCAACGCACCGGCGGCATTCATGGACTTGATGAACCGTGTGTTTAGTGAATACTTAGACCAATTTGTGATAGTATTCATTGACGATATCTTAATATACTCCAAGAGCGAGGAGGAGCACGAACATCATTTGGGGCTTATACTTGATCGGCCAAGGGAAAAGCAACTCTTTGCCAAGTTCTCTAAATGCGAATTTTGGCTCAAGGAGATTGGTTTCCTCGGTCATGTCATATCCGGTTCAGGCGTTGCTGTGGATAACGCCAAGATAAAAGCTATCATGGATTGGGAGAGACCCAAGAATGTGAAAGAGATACGTAGTTTCCTTGCCTTAGCGGGATACTATCGTAAATTTTTTGAAAATATTCTCCGTATTGGCGTCTCCATTAACGAAGCTCACAAAGAAAGGGGCCAAGTTCATATGGGACTACAAGTGTGAGAAAGGGGTTCCTTGAACTGAAGAAACGACTTACCGAAGCACCAGTCCTCGCCCTACCCATACAGGGGATAGGGTATGATATTTACAGCGATGCTAGCATCCAAGGGCTTGGATGTGTTCTGATGCAAAACGGTAAGGTGATTGCCTATGCTTCTAGACAATTGAGGAAACACGAGGTGAACTACCCTACCCACGATCTGGAGTTGGGGGCGGTAGTGTTTGCACTAAAGATTTGGAGACATTATCTCTACGGGGAGACATGTCACATTTATACAGATCGTAAGAGCTTGAAGTATGTATTCACTCAGAAAGAGTTGAATATGAGGCAGAGGAAATGGATGAAGTTGATCAAGGACTATGACTTGATCATTGACTATCATCCCGGAAAGGCCAATGTAGTGGCCGACGCACTGAGCAGGAAGAGTACGTCAGGGACGTTAGTTACTTGTCTGCAGGCATTGAGGGCACGCGTGGAGGTGTCCACGTGCGGGGCTCTCATTGCTCAATTTGAGGTTAGGCCCACCCTATTGGGCGAGATTAGTCGAAGTCAAGCCATTGATGAGGAATGTCAGAAGATCCGTGAAAGGATCCTTGAAGGACCCGTCGAGAATTTTCGGGTACGTGATGACGGTCTTTTATTGTTTAAGGATCGTGTGTGCATACCAAGGAATGAGGGACTCCAGAAATCTATACTTGAGGAGGCTCATTCTTCAGCTTATGCTATGCATCCAGGAGGTACTAAGATGTACCGAGATTTGAAGGAAAGTTACTGGTGGTCAGGTATGAAGAGAGACATCGCCGAGTATGTGAGTCGGTGCCTTACTTGCCAGCAAGTTAAGGCAGAACATCAGCACCCGGCAGGGCTTTTGCAGCCACTCACCATCCCAGAGTGGAAGTGGGAGCACGTGACCATGGACTTCGTGGTGGGGCTACCACGAACGGTGAACAACTATGATGCAGTTTGGGTAGTGGTTGATAGGCTCACCAAGAGTGCACACTTTTTGCCTATCAACATTACTTATCCTCTTGAAAGATTGGCCAAGCTATACACAGAGGAGATTGTGAGATTACATGGAGTCCCAATATCCATTGTCTCGGATAGGGATCCACGATTCACATCCCGATTTTGGCCAAAGTTTCAAGCATCGTTGGGTACTAAACTGAGGTTTAGCACAGCTTTTCACCCACAGACGGATGGACAGTCTGAGCGGGTGATACAGATTTTGGAAGACATGCTTAGGGCGTGTGCGCTGGAGTTCCAAGGAAGTTGGGACAAGCATTTGGCCCTAGTGGAGTTTGCTTATAACAACAGTTATCAAGCAAGTATCGGCATGCCTCCATATGAGGCATTGTATGGGAGGAAATGCAGAACACCTTTGTGTTGGGACGAGGTTGGCGAGGCTAAACTCGAAGGGATAGAACTGGTTGAGATCACCAAGGCCAAGGTGAGGATCATTCGGGATAGACTGAAGGCTGCTCGGGACCGACAGAAGAGTTATGCTGATAAACGGCGGAGACGGTTGGAGTTCGAAGTCGGTGATGAGGTCTTCCTAAGGATTTCTCCTTGGAAGGGCATCATTCAATTTGTATCGAGGGGAAAGCTTAACCCCCGATACATAGGTCCGTTTGAGATCCGTGAAAGGATCGGGGCCGTGGCTTATCGTCTCAAGTTAACGCCTGAACTTGAGAAGATACACGACGTGTTTCATGTATCAATGCTCAAGAAGTACATACGAGACCCATCTCATATTCTTGATAAACCACCGGTAGAGATCCGTGAGGACTTACAATATGCGGTTGAACCAGTGAAGATTGTTGGTCAACAAGTAAAGAAATTGAGGAATAAGGAGATTCCTATGGTAAAGGTCCTTTGGAGAAGTGATCGAGTCAAGGAAGAAACGTGGGAGACCGAAGTCTCAATGAGGGAACAATACCCATTTCTTTTCAATTAGATACTTGGATTTCGGGGACGAAATCCCAAATAAGGGGGGGTGAACTTGTAACACCGTCCCCAAATATATTTACGTTCATGTAAATAATGTATTGAACCTTATTAAAGGATTAATGAATTTACGAAGTTGTAAATTTTTATTATTTCTTTCGCGTGAATAGTAAATTGCACGTGGGACCCACACCGGGAGCGAGGGGCCACCCGATATTCCCGAGATCACATAAATCATTCTTATGGGTCGAAATAATATTTATATAGTGGTGGATATTTTATTTGGGTCGTGAAAAGGCCCAGAGTTGACCGATTGGGCAAAAGAGGCCCAAATACCGGTACCGACAATTTAACAGATAACAGCCCGAAAATGAATTTCGGAGACTTCTAAATTAATGTTTTGGAATACATATTATTTCAAAAGGACATTACGATTGAGAACACGTAAAATATTTTATTGAACCCGATAAAATAAAATATATTTAAAACAGTCCGAAAAATACAACTTTCGGGACCGATTGTACCTTTCGGGACAAGTTGGGATGACCTCCCACATGAGTGGGGGCCACCCCACGTTTTTGGGTCTCAAATGGGACTTGTGTGGCCGCACAACATGTGAAGATGAAGCTAAATTGATTGGAATGGGATCATTTGAGGTGTGGACCTCACCCACACACATTATTTGTCAATTAAGACAAAGAAGGACACTTCCTACCTCTTTCCTCATCCTTGTGCTCGACCAACCCCTCCAAGGAGAAGAAAATTGAACTCTCAAAACACTCTCCATTGCTGCAACTCGAGCTCAAGCCATAGAGGTCCAAGGAGGAAGATTTGAGAAGGAAAAATCTAGGAAAAGTGTGAATGATAAAGGTAATGACATCATATTAACTTTTCCTTTATTTTTCTTCTACCATATGAAGTATATATCATGTGAAGAACCTTTATTATGGTTCCATATGATATAAGGGTGGATTCATGGGTTGGAAGATGGTTCTATGTCCAAGAACGGACTTAGAGGCCAAAACTACCGGTTCACCGGAAAATAACCTTTTTGAGGTTATGTGTATTAACATGGGTTTTATGACTATAAAACCTTGTTAGGAACTTGTAAAGGGTATTTCAAGTGGTTTCACAAAGTTGGAAAAGTCGCCGGAGTTGTCGCCGGAGTTGACCAAAAGTCGCCGGAGTTTCACCGGAGTTCAACTAAGAAGGGTAGAACTTCATAACGCTAGTTCAAGGTGAGTGGACGGCTTAATATCTTATAACTTTTGGGTTAATTATAAGATTACCTAAATAAATGTTATATGAATTCATAATGATGTTTAAAAGATATTTAAACATGTGATTAGCCAATAGGGTTAAGTTTGTATGAAAGAAATAGATTGTTTATGCATAGAATATGATATGAAGAATTATATAAAATGCATATTTGCTTGAAGTGTATTAGAAGCACAAATGAATATTTTAACTTAATTATGCGATGATTAAGTTGATTTGTACAAGGTTTGAAATGGCGGTCAACGACCACGTTGACCGGTGGATAATGGATTAATTAATACCGGTCGATATTAATTAATTGTACATTTACATAATTGCATGGCTTTGCATGGAATGTGATACATAAGTTTTATGTATTGGATTAGTTATGAATGGCTAAATATGATATAGACCCTACCTAGTGTGATATGTGGTAAGTCATAGGTCGGGTGGAGTACCCAAGGATCGGGCGGTTATCCTCAAAACTCGGTTATATAGGGTGGAGTACCCAAGGATCGGGCGGTTATCCTCAAAACTCGGGTATATAGGGTGGAGTACCCAAGGATCGGGCGGTTATCCTCAAAACTCGGTTATATAGGGTGGAGTACCCAAGGATCGGGCGGTTATCCTCAAAACTCGGTTATATAGGGTGGAGTACCCAAGGATCGGGCGGTTATCCTCAAAACTCGGTTATATAGGGTGGAGTACCCAAGGATCGGGCGGTTATCCTCAAAACTCGGTTATATAGGGTGGAGTACCCAAGGATCGGGCGGTTATCCTCAAAACTCGGTTATATAGGGTGGAGTACCCAAGGATCGGGCGGTTATCCTCAAAACTCGGTTATAGGGTGGAGCACCCAAGGATCGGGCGTGTATCCTCAAAACTCATAGGCTACATTTAATGATCTAGGACCGGATGGTGTCCTTATGATAATTTATTTGAACAAGGAGGAGTTCTATACACTCATAGGTATATGGGTGGGTTGGGATTTAAGTCAAGGATATTGGCTACTATTATTTTCCCAAATAAACAATGACCTACGGGTCGGGTATTTCCAAGTGTATGTATACTAATATGTATTTCAAACTTGGGGGAAGGACTATACGTATATGTATCATCCTATGTTTGGGTCTTATACTTGAAACGCTAGTTATTCTATATTTAGCCTGCTACTCGCTCGGTACTTGTACTGACCCCTTCGGGGGGCCCCACCATTCTCAGGTTGAAGCTAGGGCTTGCCACCTGCACCTTCCTACGGGTGACATCAAATCAAGGAAGACGTGGTTCGTGCTTCCTCATTTTATTTCAAATTACCAAACATTGCTCATGGATATTTTTATTTGTTATAAACTATTCTTTTGGGGCTTGCATGCCCATGTTATTGGCCGGTTGTGGCTTATGACTTACCGTTGAATATTTCCGCTATTCATTGGTTTAAATGTGATGTTGTTATGTATGTTTACTACTGAGTATGGATGGATTATTTTTCTCGAACGCCTTGTGTAATCAAGTGAGGTTGACTCGCGGGTGACATCACTTGATTTCACGGCGGTTGTACACGCGCTTGGATTGCGGTCTGGGGCGTGACAGGACGGATAAGGATGGCAATGGGGGCGGGGACCCGTGGGGAACCGCCCCGCGGGGGAAGGATGGGACGGGGCTTAGGGTGGGGCGGGGCGGGGATGGGTGAAATATTTTTACGCCGTTAAAATATGGGGCGGGGGACGGGTATTGCTACACCCGCCCCGTCCCCGTTATAAATATATACTCAAACATATATATATATATATATATATACATACATATATATATATATACACACACACATATATATATATATATAATGTACATACATACGCATATATAAATAATGTGCACACATATTAAATTAAATTATTTGTAGTATATAACAAACGCATATACATATAGACATACATAATTTTATACGGTTTAATCATGGTTAATGAATTAATACATATTATACTAGAATAATAAGCTAGTGATGATTAAAAATATTTATCATAAATGTTACTTCGTATATGAGTTTTAAGAGTGAGAAAGTGAGTAAATAAATACACACACATTTATATGTAATATAGTATGTAGTATGCAATTAATTGTATTATAATTGTTGAGAATTTTGAAACAACGTACATGATGATAATATGTTTACTTATATTTTTACTTTAATTGTCTTCAACTCACAAAACTTATTCAAATTGAAGAATTATTAAAATTGGTGGTATTAACTTTCAACAAACACAATACTTCTGTGTGTGTGTATCATATATCACTGTGTGCGCGTAGATATATATAGGTTTAGGATCAAATGAGAACAATGTTTAACGTGAGAACGTGTGAACACCACATTTACCCCCAATGTGAAGCACAATGGGCTTGCACAATGCACTTTTTTGTATCTAGCATAATATTTACAAAAGTGTCACCGTGATTATTTATATTATCTTGTATTGAGCGAAGTCCAAATGTGCACTAGAACGGCTCTATTGTGTATCACATTGGATTATTATGTATCACATTGGATTAAATGTGAGTGTTCTCACGTTAACCATCGTTTTCATTGGAATCGCACTACATATATTTATAATAAGAGATTAAAAGTATATGCAAATACGATAAATTAAATCTACATGGGGGCACCCGTGGGGGACAATGCGGGTGAGGCGGGGATGGGGGGGAACTTTTTAGACATGGGGCAGGGATGGGGGAGTGTACCCCCGCACCAAACCCGCCCCATTGCCATCCCTAGGGACGGATCTATTTGTTCAGCAATAGCTGCATTAAGCCTGTATGATAGTTAGCGATTCGTATTGCTCCTTTAGGAATGATCTTCTTTATGTCTAATCGTAAGGCTATAAGTAGTAGTTGGAAGGCGAATATTGTAGTCAGTGTTTCATTTTAATATTGATGTAGCCATCATGATTCTAATGATATCAATATAGGCGATTTCATCTTCAAAAAAAATATTCCTATTGAAATAATTAAATATCAAAAGTTACATTTTAATCACTACTTTTATTCGAGTCATATATTTGTTATTTTTTCAATTAATTTTATACAAAAAAAAACTTAATTAGAAAAGATACATTTGAAATTGGATGGAGTAGGTATAATATATGCACACATCATTTTTATCCGCCATTTACCAACCAGAACACCAGACCCATTAACTATAAAATATTTGAACCTCCAATTTGTTTAGGATTTTGGTGGATTTTATGCCAAGTTGGATTCACGTGCAAATTCTTTTCTTCCGTATATAAAAATAAATGAATCAGCATTTTCCAAGAAATTGCGCTGCCCTATCGTGTGGAGTAATGTATCGGACCTGGCCTGCACTTCTGTAGTGTGCATGTGCCCAAAATCTACAGTAGATATTCTCCACTGATTTTTTTTATTTATTCTGTCTCTTAAACCTTTTTTGACTAGCGTATGATCTCTCACTTTTGGGAAGATTTATTCTTCTAAATTGTTAACGAAAATCATAAAATGTAAAGAAAAGGATCCATTATCGTATCAATTATCTTAGTATAAAAGTTTGTCCAAAAAACAATCTTTACACCAATTCGTCCGGCCCATTTTCTATGTCTCGTCACGCTCCTGATAATAACTAAATTTGCATTTTTTGTTCATTAATCGGCAGGTTAAGGATGTTTTCTTTTAGGATGTTTTCTTTTGGACTGAAATTTGTTAGTCTGGTCTGGTCTGGTCTGTTTAAGTCTGGTCTGGTCTGTTTAAGTCTGGTCTGGTCTGGTCTAGTCCGGTCTGAACTGGTCTGGTCTGGTCTGGTAAACGTCTGGTATCTGTGTATTTTATAACTACGGAAGTCTGGTCTGGTCTAGTCTGGTCTGGTCTGTTTAAGTCTGGTCTGGTCTGTTTAAATCTGGTCTAGTCTGGTCTGGGACTGAAACAGTTCAAAAGAAAACATCCTTAGACTGTTTTCAGTCCCAGACCAGACCAGACCAGACCAGACCAGACTTGACTTCCGTAGTTATAAAATACACAAAGACCAGACGTTTACCAGACCAGACCAGTTCAGACCAAACCAAACCAAACCAGATCAGACCAGACCAGACTAGACCAGACCAGGAAATTTCAGTCCAAAAGAAAATATCCTAAATATCATGATCACTTTAATTTACTATTTTTTTTTATCATCAAATCCAACTCTAATATCAAATCAATAGGAAGCGGATCATTACAACAGACTCAAAAAGACCAATCCTGACAAAAACTATCCCTAACCAGCTATCGCAATCAACCATTCGGCTAGACTCTGAGACGATCACACATGAAAGAGCAATATGAATCGCTAACCACCAAGCGGGTGTGACACAACAATCACTGGCCATATAGATCCTTCTAATGACATAATATCTAGTAGAATTGACAATCATTATCAAAGATCCAAAATTTAAAACCTCAACAAAAAATGAAACACCGTAAACAAACATAACACGAAAATAAGACCCAAAAAAATAGAATAATTGACAAAAACTCCGAACTTCTTGAACTTTCATCTTCCAAACCCCGACATCTAGATCAAAACAGGGCGGCGATTCAGGCAGGAGACAAACCGCCGATCTGTATTCTCCCTTGCTTAGCCCTTCATCACTCCCTATCTGTTCATTGCCTGTGCCGAGGTCCGGAACCAAACACTGAAGCTTTGCTAGATTGCCCAACCCTCTACAAATCCATGTACTGATGCTCATCTTCAATTCCCCCAGTTCGACTCGACTCAACCACACGGATGGTAACAAAGCTCTGCCGCCGCCCGCCGAAGCCTCCACAATCAGTCACAGAGCTCCAGAGAATCTTAGATGAAGCTACAAAACCCAGCCGATCAAAGTTAGTCTGATTCGCTGCTCTTCGAACCTTTTGTCCCATTCGTGTTGAAGCCTGATCCGAGAAAAACGGGACTCCACGATCACCAACGTCTTCCAAACAATATTTTAGATAACCTCCAACTTAAGAAAATCTCGGACAACGGCTGAGGACCGCCTCCGGACAAACCCTAGACCGACCTAGGCGGCGGTTCTAGAGAGAGAATTTAACTCGATGCTTAAGCAACTTTTTTGTGACTAGTCAAAAAATCTTTTAATTTACTATTTTAAACTAAATACTACTTTCACTCCAATCTTAGGATGTTTTCCTTTGGACTAAAATTTGTTGGTCTGGTAAACGTTTGGTCTCTATGTATTTTATAACTATGGAAGTCTGTTCTGGTCTGATCTAACCTGGTCTGGTTTGGGACTCAAAACAATCCAAAAGAAAACAACTTTATTGTATTGGTCATCATAAAATCATTAAATGACATTCTCTAGACCAGACTAGACTTCGGTAGTTGTAAAATATACAAAGACCAGATATCTACTAGACCATATCAATTCAGATCAGATCAAACTAGATCAGACCATATCAGAAAATTTCGGTTGAAGGAAAAAACATCCTTAATGTACTCTATGTCACAAATAATGTGTGTTGATGAGGGAAAATTTTAATTTTTCTTCTATTTAGTACAATTTCTTTAATCTATATAGTGATACATGGTGCTCTTAATCCATTTGTCTAATGTTATCTTGATTGAAATATAAGACTAGGATTGTGTCATTTTCTCGGTTATTGCTTGCTTACTTCTAAATAAGATAAAGGGAATAATTCCCGAAATAGGAGTAAAAACAGGACTGCTATGTTTTTATTTACAAAATAGGAGTAATTAACGCCAAGTTTGGAAAATATTGTCATGTTTAAAGTCTAGTACTGTCTAAAATGACAGTAACTAGTCATATCTTGAGACTAAAAATGATAGTCTTTTTCGTATGAAATTTCGGGTCGTAGCATGATTCAGAGCAAACCCATTTAGTTTTACTGTTTTAGTGTGAGACTATAAAAATGATGACATTATGAAAAGATAATACGGAGTAATAAGTATGATATATTGATGAAAAATTGTATGACAACACAATTCCGATGATACTAAGATTTCGAGTTAGCATGAAACTGAAGTCTCAACTATTTGGTTCTAACTTCTAAGCTCTATCACGTATTAACTCCTTAGTATCTCTCGGTGCAACGATGTACTAGTATTGTACGAGTATATTATACGTACAGTTTTTTTATGTCGCTCGGTTTATTTAATTTATATTTGCATTGAAAAAGACATGGTGTGAACAATCAACATTCTGCCATGAGCTACTCTAATAAACTATTAATATATGCTTTATTAGTAATAATCATTCTTTTGATAAACATTTTAACGCTTAGTTCATCACAATATATTCAACGAGATTACGAAGATAAATGCGATAAACAAGGATAATGTTATTTAATTTAATTGAGCTCTAGATTAACATATAAATACGGAAAAGTTGTCTTTGGGTCCCTAAGCTATAACAAAATATTAGATTTGGTCCGTCAGCGCAGCTTTCAATGTCACAAATTG